GTCAGTCCGTCAGTCCGTCAGTCCGTCAGTCCGTCAGTCCGTCAGTCCGTCAGTCCGTCAGTCAGTCAGTTTATGAGACAGAAAAGGTGATAAACTGTGGAACGAAAAAAAGAACACGTATATTACTCGTGTGGAAAGCACCTGCTTTGACTTACCTCCACAGAATGTGCATCAAAATAGATTAAAGTACCTCAAAGTGTATGTATGTCTAAGAGGTCATAAAGGACTGCTTTTTATGTTGGTCAAAGATTTTTTGTAAGTGATTTACGGCCGTCGCAACTGCACACGAACATGTGAGCACACGGGACACATTACACATTTTCAGTTGGTAGGAAATTTTGGATTTAGCCGTGGTGGCGGCCAAAGCCTACTCTTATCGATTTTATATCACCAAGAGACTTTTAACGTGCGCAGCTTGCACACGTGACCTCCGAGATTTTTCGCCCTTGTCCGAGAAGGCTAAGTGCACATATTTCCTACCAGAAGATCAGGGGTGTGGCTGAAAGACAGCAGCAAGAGTAAGAAGGAGCCAAGGAGTAGAAGTAGAAAGGCTGCAAAAAGAGTCGGGAACCCAGAGGAAGGGGCAAGGGAGGTGAGTAGATGGGGGCAGAAAATGGAGACGAACGCAGACGACAGAACATTGCTAGAGAACAGAAAAGGAGGTGAAAGGAGACAATTTTACAGAAGAAAAATTTTCCATCGCTACCCGGATTCGAACCCAGGACCTTTGAATGAGAGGAGAATACATTAACCTCTAGGACACGAGAGCCCCGTAGTCGAACGTATTCAGATTATTTATTACAACTGTCTACTAAGGTTGGTTTCTTGGATTAAGACTCAGGAGCGAAATCTTTCTTCGACAACAGTCGTAATCTCTGACTCTGTGTCTCCTCAAACAAAGAGACAAACTAAAAATCGATTCAAAACCCTCTCTGTGTACCCCCACCCCTGTCTGTTCCAATCCTGTTAAGTAAGATTATAATACGGTCTTCTAATGTACCGTAACTTTGAACCTGAGCTTAATGGCTAGAGCAAGTCACTTTCTGTGAGATTCAGTTCATAGTTGGAAGAGTATAACTGGGAAAAGCAACATGTCTTGAAACGGGAAATCGGAAACGAGCAGTGGGATGGAGGTGGATGTGGGGGTGGGGTCGGGATGGGGGCAGTGGCTTACGATTAAGAAGGCGCTACGTAAAAGAAAGAAGGAAAGAAGCAAGGGGGAACCGAAGGAAAATAGTAAGGGATGCATAAGGAAAACGTCGTGATGGGAAGAAGAAAACTAAGGAGAGAATAAAAATATATGAGTAAAAAGGTCAAGAAAAGACAAAAAGTAAAGAAAGATGGTGAAAAGAAAGAAGTAAGCTGGAGGAAAAAAGACAAAAATAGAATTAATGGATTAGGGTATATTTCAAACACGCTATCTGGACATATTCATTCATTAGATCTCCGCGGTGACTTTGTTGTCGACTCTTAAGCGTGATAAAATGCAAATGTGGTCTTCAAAGCCAAATGCCTTTGCGTTTGTCCATAATTTGGCCTCGTGTTTTTGAAAGCTGAGGTCCTGGTCTGAGAACACATCTTGCACGAGGCCTGCAGAAGGAGGTAAAAATAAAACACAGACACAAAAATAGCCTATACATACATATTATATACGTGTTCATACAACACACACACAGACAGACAGACAGACACACACACACACACACACACACACATACACACACACACACACACACACACACACACACACATATATATATATATATACATATATATGTATATATATATATCTAATTATATATACATAAAATTAATATATATGAGTGTGTATATATGTATACAAATCTATTTATCTATCTATCTATCTATCTATCTATCTATCTATCTATCTATCTATCTATCTATCTATCTATCTATCTATCTATCTATCTATCTATCTATATCTGAAATATGATATATATAATCATATATAATTTATATATTTTTAATATATATATATAATTATATTTCTGCTGGTGTACGCAATGTCTGTTTATCCTCGTCTCCCATGAAATCAGCTGATGGGTGGGTGAACAAAAGCATGAAAAAAAACTATGTCATTATCATATTATGTGGGAATTAACAAACTAGTCAATGTATAAATGAGCAGATTGGATAGTTCATGTTTTGTAACTTTAATACATGCATTTCTCTTATTCGGAGTCTCCAGTGTAATGCCGCAATTAAAGACAGCTGTTTTGGACAGCTAGACATAAATAAAAGTCACCAAACCTTTGGTCTTTGAAGTAAATTCGAAATTTAGATCTCAAAATGAGCGGGCATACTTTACTGAGATTGAAAAGTGGGTTTAGTAGCAATGTGCCGTTTGATTGAACGAGCGACCGTCTTTTGCTTTCTGTTTTAACATGACGGTACCCTTGTGAAGCATTGCAGTGAAATCAGGAGCTTGTCAAAATAATGAAATCGAAGAAACCAGAATTTCCCCGCCAGTTTGGCTATTTTGATTGAATTGTTAATTTTTTGCTTAACATCTTTTGTATCCATGTAAAAGAACATATGTGTGTGGATTTTACTGAAAAATGTTGATTAAAGGCACTAAAATAATGAGGTTTTTAGTTTTCAAGGACTCCCAAACTAAGAGAGTCATCAAACCTGGGCATCACGTTTTTGCGTATTGTACTTCTGAAACCAGTCGACCCCCACCTCCTTCAGTCGCAATTATCTTGACTTAACTCAAGACAGATGGGCATTTTTCCATCAAATACAGGACAATTAATGAACACGCTTTTTAATGGCACCAATAACTCTCATTCCCTAAAACTGACTAGCGCTTGATTCCACCTTGTCACGACTCCTGGAGTTGGAGGAGAAACGCCTGCGGACAGAATGTTTAGTGCATGGTAAACCATTCTTCCAATCAGAATGAAACGAAAACCCGGCAGTGCTATCAACGAACACAGGCGAATGTTACAAACTTGGTTTGATGAGCCACTTATTGTATGACTTATGTTCTTTTCCTCCCATTCTCCACAACCGTATTGTTTTGCACCCTTTGAAAAGAGGAACATGTATTAATATTTGCTTAGGAAACACTAACCACCCGCATATCATCATTGTGTAGGCGACAGGTCAGCTCTGATTTTAGTAGGCTTAAGATTTATTTATTGCTTCTCACAATAGGACTCCTTGAGAAAAGAGAAGCACCTTAGCACTATAATGGTCTCTCAGAGCTAGGGAAATTCAATACCGAAACACAGAAACAACAGAAGACGAAGAATTGAAGTAGGACGTACCAGCGCCCAGCTCTAACGTTCACGGTACCTGAATTCATTATCCATGGCTAAAGCGGTATTCCTACATAATGTATAATGTTTCATTGATTGTCATTCCTTAGAAACTAACGACCTGTCTTTTCTCAATACATTGATTTTCCAGGAATCAGCCTTAATTACACGAGTGAGCGACGCGGGAGGCAGGCGAGGTCAGAGGTCAATGACCAGTGTCAGGGAGCGTTTGACACCAGCTCAACCTCTGCGGTGTCAAGGGACAGTCGAGGACGGCACTTCCGCCCACTCCGCAAGGAGATAAGAAAGAAGGCAGGAAGGAGGGAAGGAAAAGAGAAAAAAAGGCGGGTCTAAAGAAAATTACGAAGGAAGACGGTAGAGTGATACGTATTGTGGAAAAAGATGGGCGAGCATTTGAAGAAGCGGACATAATTCACTGTGTGCGTGTTGTGACGGACGAAGGGACGAGAGGGTAAAAAGGAGAAAGATATTGGTCATTTGAGGAAACGGAAGAAAGGAAGTAGGCCTGGAGAGCAGAGGAGAAGGGAAAGAAAGTGAAAGAAGAAGGAAAGCTATTTTCTGGATCTCCAGTGAGGGAGGTGCTGTTTAGGATACCCTTGAGAGGTAAGATTGTTCTGTACGTGTTAGCTTGTCTGATGTTTCTCTGAAGACGTGATCTATTTTTGTTCTCAGCCGGCTGTCTCATTCATCTATAATTTATTTCCCCTGAGAGGCCGAAACGGTCCAGATATTTAAAGCTACGTTACCTATTCGCAAATCAAGTAACACCGACAACAATAACTACCATAACCACCACCACCACAACCACCACCACCACCAACACAACAACAATAATCGCAGCAATAACAGTATAATGACCATGAGCAAAAAATCTACCACAAGTAACAATGATAACAACAGTAACAATAGGAACGTCATCTTCACCATCACTTCAAACGATACAATAGAAGTAACATAAAGCTTTAGGAGTTAGCAAAAACAACATAGAGAACAAGGATTTGCTCCGCTCGGCCTCCCTCACAATCTTAGTGGAGTCGGAGTTACAGTTAATCCCCTTTCCAATTCAACTGGATGTAGTTTGTGCACTGACAGCTTAAGGACATCGAGCTTCGAATTTTTTTTTTCTGAATCACTTGTTTTCCGACGCATTTGTTATAATCCTTCTTAATGGGGAGTTCTGCAATGTGAATCTGTTTTTTTTTTCATTTAAGCGGACGGAAATGTTATAGTTGAAAAGCCGTCCTTTGAACGCCCCCGCAGTTTTAGTGGAGACCCCTGTGCTATACAACCTTCTTTCGTCCAGTGGGACGTAAAAACTATATGTCAGGTCTTTCTCTCATTTCCGGGCAGCCAAGGACTGTTTATTCACTTTTTATCGATCTTGGTACTTCCGTTTTTCTAGCCTGACATGTGGTTCGCGAACATATTACATGGGCTAACGTTCCACACCACGCATAAAAAAACAAACTCTTCATCCTGTTCATTCATTCCTTCACTCAGTCTTCCTTGCTTTAATATCCTCTTTTGTTCATGTTTTCATTTGCTCATAAAATAGTTCACTCTCATGATCTGGCAATGGTAATCGTTTGATGCAGTTCTAGGGGAGGGGGTGCATTAGTAGCTCAGTTAGCATCATTCTGGACTGCTGTACTGATAAGCCAGGTTCGAATACTCAACTGGGGGTTCTTGAACCGCATTTATGTCGTTTTTTCAAGGCTGTCCTTTGGAGTTTTTCTTAGCGGTTTTTGACGGATGCTCCATTATCGTTTGCACCTTGTTGACGTTCCCTTGTCTTCAGTGGTGCTGTAGTTCTCTTGGCCATTGGACTCGTAAGATAGGAGTTCGACTCCTGCTCATGGAAGTTTATAGTATCCAATATATAGATGACTAAAATTATATGAATTAATGCGTAAAACATTTATAAACTCTCGCTTTTGACATTATGCTGTCTAAAGAAAATGTTTTGGGTCGGTTTTTTTCGTCTTGAACCAACGTGGATGAAGTCACGACGATCAGTAAAGTTTCTTGTTTTTGCTCGGGGATACTTATTTCTTTTGTGTCGACTGGCGCCTGTTACAGTGGTATGCAACTCTAACAACAGACTTCGAGAGAGAACATTGACCTGAACACCAAGAACAAGCAGTGTGGATCCGACAAGCGGAGCGACTGGCAGTTATGCTCTGAACCAGCTGCCGGCACAAACTGTTGGTGGCTTGCCCTCGAAAGGCATTCACCCCAGCTCCCAAAAACAACAACAAAAACAATGAGCAACTGACCCCCCCCAAAAAAAAAACAACAACAACAAACAAAAAACAAAACAAACCCAACCAAAAACAATCCCCCCCAAAAACAACAACAACAACAAAACCCAAACGAAAACAAAGCAAAAACAAAACAAAACAAAACAAAACAAAAAATAAAAACCCTTCATGAAAGAAGGAAACAACCTGCAATTATTTCATTCACTGTGATCTGTCTGTATGTCGCATAAAACCCTTTATTACAAATGAAAAAAGCTGGCAAAGAGTGGCACGGGTTACCTTGAACCTGTTTTCCAAAGAGCACCCCCATAATTTAAATATATGTAGCAGGTTTTTTTCTCTAGTGCTTACCCGCACTTTGCAATGGACTTTGCACCCCCCCCCCCGTGTATTTTTCGATGAGCTTATTTTTACACACGTCTGACGCCATCTTCTTTGTTTTTAATAATGCACACCGTCTGCCCCCCCCCCCTACCCCCAAGAGGTAATGCACGCACAATAAATGTAGAATATCCTATTTTTGGAGTTCCAACACCCCTGTCAATATAGAAACATATTGGAGGAGGCCTTAACTCTAAATTTACCGTCTATATTTGATAGGACTTGGCCAATCGCATGCTGAGAGCCATCAACGCTCCCCGTACCTTTCAGTATACCGTGAAACCTGTATAAGACGACCACTCATTGCCGTGGAGAAAAAGTGTCATCTCAAACAGGGGGCCCTCTTGGACAGTGTCATTATAACATGGAAGTAACGCAGGGGGAGGGGGCTTGGAAGTGATCGTTTGTACACGTGATTGTCTTTGGCAGGTGGTCGTTTATCAGGTTCAGATTTATTCGAATCAGGTTACCAGTATGATAGTGTAGCATAATGCCAAATGAGCATACCCCCCCCCTCCTAATAAAAAGAACTAGAAAAATCTAGAAGACAGAGCAGAGCACAATTTCGACCGTCAAACCCAGTGACTCTCCGTGAGGAGTCCTGCAGATGGGTGATTGGCATGCTCTGCATGCTTGGACTCACCCATCAATTATAAAAGTGGGCATGACAGGGCTTTGGTTTTGGGCACGGGACTTCAGCGGCTTACACGTTTCTACAATAACTATATTATTGAGTCGTACAATAGGCGCCTCTGTGCTCTATAAAGAGTGCTGCCTTCGTTCTGGAAGTGATTTCGCCTCGCCCGCTTCTCTCTCTCTCTCTCTCTCTCTCTCTCTCTCTCTCTC